TTATAATGATAATTGTACATATTGGTCAAACCAGTGTGTACAATGGAGTGTAATTATGTCATTTAAAGATAAAACTGTCATTGATGAAGTTATCATTCCAGATAAATTAAAGAACTGTTATTAACATTCATGTAAACTGATCTGATGGTGAGTTCAAGTGCTCGTTACCAAATACCTTTGGTCCTTTGTCACGGGGTTCATCTGAACATCAACTCTTTCCTGTATCTATTTCAAAACCATCAGTGACATTTCTGCACAGCATGTGTTGGGGACGGTCCAACACAGAGGGAAAGACTTGGAGTTGCCCTCACACATTCACACACCTTTATCTGCCCCGTGGGTCAGGGCTCCATGACGGTGGCACTCACAGTCCTGCTCTGCTCTCCCTGCGTCCTTCGTCATGTTGAAGGGGACCTCGCTGACTCGTCTCCATCTCCTGAAGACACAGACACCAGATCAGAGAGTCAGATGTTACAGTTGTAGCCACACACTCACAGTCAGTGTCAGTTTACAAACCCCAAGACAAAACATGGATCTCAAAAAGGCAGCAGCCACAGAATAGAGGAGAACGTCTGTAGGTCACAGAGTCACAGACAGGTCAGTGTCAGAGGAATATCTTTCTACCCTCATATGGGCCAATGACCTTTAATCATCTTACCAAAGTGTCCTGCTCTGGACAGACCTGCTCTGGACAGACCTGCTCTGGACAGACCTGCTCTGGACAGACCTCCTCAGCCTGGGCTGGTGGTGGGGCCTCACTTGCCCCTGCACTGCTCCAAACATCATCTATAATTAATGAGGCCTTTACAAAGAACTGGGAAATAAGATGCTAAGAAGTCCTCTGTGCCCCCCCCCCCCCCTCTTTGTCCCTTCCTCCCTCTAATATCTGCCCACAGACCAATCAAGCACCATAACTACTGCTCTCTAATTTGTTTCTCTACACTCCCTGATTCCTGCTTCTTTGATTCAGAGCCGTTTGCTATTCCTTCGTTTTTGTAAGAGATCGATTTTTCACTTCTGCTCCTCTGTGTCTCCAATTCTCCTTAAATCACTACAGGATGTCAAGCACAACACCGAACTAATTACTCAGTGTGTGGCAGCAAGGAAGGGTTTGGTTTCTGTGAACGCTGGACGTGGCAGGTGAAAAACCAACAGAAAAGCATGAGTTTGTTGTGGAGGTCTTCAAATCAATCAAATAGTAATTAAGGAAGTACTTTTGAAGAGCATGACTGTGCACGGGAACGGTACTTCTAAAGGGTGTGTGTCCAGTACGTGTACACTTGTCAGAGTGCTGTGTGCATCAATAATGCATGTGGATAATGCAGCTGCTTCACTCTACTGACAGCTAACAGGCGAAACTGACGCACAGAGGGAGACGGAGAGAAATAATATGAGTGTGCAGAGAGGAAAAGATGAGAAGGGGAAATGTGAGCCAAACCAAAAGGCAAGAGTGTCCGCAGTACAAACCCGTGGTTCCTTGTTTTTTTTGGACCAACGCTGCCTCTGTCACACAGGGATAAACGGAAGACAGATTATTTCCTGAACGATTGGGGGAAAATGTAAGAAGAATACAGATTCAGTTGACATGTGGATGTTAAAGGGAGTGTCTTTTAGAACTGAAGAAACATATCAGGAACAGAATGAGTCCAGAGACTGAACCCTGAGGTATCCCAAAGAAAACAGAAGTTGATTATAAAGCAATCATTTTACAAAATATAGTTGAGTGAAGTTTTCAGATGTTCTGATTATTGGACTGAACTCACATTTCCACTTTTGTTTTGTAGGGTTTTTAAATTACGTCTCCTTGCTAATCACTTTGAGTCTTTTTTAGGAGACTACAGTTTACGAGCACTCTGTTGTACAGAGACTACGTTAGCTATAAACGGCAGCCATTAGTGTGTCTGTGTGGGAACATCACACGCGGGCTAGAACTGGCCAGGGGTTTACTAGCATGATGAAACAAAAAACCCAGGGAAGAACAGAGTGATGAAACAGAACAGCAGGAAACATTAGGAATAATCAAAGAACAGGAGCAACAGGTGCAGCAGGAAGTGATGTCATGTCCATTCAGTCCAGTTAATGCATCCTCAGATGTAGGACATTAGCTCTAATGTCTGGAAATGCTCTCCACTTGGTCAGTCATTTTTTTAAAAGCTGCTGAGGTCAACAACATTTTCTTGTAACTCTAATTCAATATTTCCATTAAAATACCAGCACTATTCCAATATAATACTAGCCCTCACCAATGGTCTTGGGCTTTAGCTAATGACCAAATCTAGGGGATTCAAGGTCCAGAACTATCCATTCTGTGGCCGGCCTGTGGCCTAGTGGGACAGGGATCAGGCCTGTTGTCAGGTCCAAATCCTGCCTCCCTGGCTGTGGTGTGGAGCAGGCACCATTAAGGAGCAGGCTGCTCCCCCAGGTACGGTTTAAGGCAGAAGACACATTTGGTTGTTAGAATTAAGAAGACGAAACCTGTGTTGTAAAGTAGCATCACTGTAACTGTCCAAAAATCAATAACAACACAATGGATGTATCTCTAATATTTACCTGTAATATTAACTGTTTCAATATATTTTATATTTCTTACCTTAAATGAAGTTCAGCACTGAGCAGTCAAGGAGAAACAGTGTTTGAACTGTTTACAACTGTATGAAGTTAAAAAAATGATTTCAGCTTGAAAGATTTGTTGTTCTGGTACCAAGAAAATATCTGAAAATATCGTCAGAACAAAAGTCTTTTGTTCTGACGTCCCAGAACCAATGAGAGCTCAGTACCAGCTCAGTCTCAGGTTTTTGGTACTTTTGAGGTAAACAGTACTTAACAGAAAGAGAAACATATTATCAACAGACTCCACCCCCCCCTCCCTCCCCGACCTGGCCGTCCAATGAGATGACAATGGTAGTAATGACTTAAACCCTGATGACCTCTGAACTAGTAAAGTAAAGGGGTGTGGGATGAAGGAGGGGGGGGGGGGGTTCAGTTGAAGAACCCGAACAGTTCCTGGTACTGGTGTCAAGAAAGGCTGCAGAAGAACCACTGCAGTTCCTGGACAGGCTGAGTCTCAGTTTGTTTAGGAGAAATATATGATCAGGAATTAGGAAGATTAGGAACGCCGCTCTCCTGATCCTCCGTGTTTGTCTGGGTAACGAGGCTCGGCCTGTTCCTATTTATTTATTCAACAAATACTTCTGCTCATTGATTTCTGGCAACTCTATTAGATTGTGGACGTCTTAGTGAGACGTCCGTCCACTGCTGCTGGGAGAGGCATGAAGGAGGACGGGGGAGGACCACAGGAGGATCCTGTTGGCCCAGTGAGACCCTGGTTGGTGGGTCATTAATCCACTGATGTGTAGGCGGGGCGGGGTGGCGGGGGGGGGCTGCTAACTAGGGTGTTGCTCGTTACACTGGCTAAATGGATTTGTTTTCAGGCAAATGTTACTTCTGACAATTTGATAAATGAGCTTCTGGGTTAATTAGTTAGCTCCAGGCCCAGTGTGGGCAGGTACACACACACACACACACACACACACACTCTGTGAGTTCTGGTTCAATGTAGGAAGCTTCCTGGAAAGTCAGTTCAATGAAAGTCAATTGAAGCAAACGTGTGCCTGAGAGAGGATGGGTGACCAGGACCAGGACCAGGACCAGGACCAGGACCCGTTCTTTTTAGTGAATTAGTTCCTTAAACTCTGGCACAACAGTACCACTGACACAGATAACGACAAGTGATCAAACCTTGATTCACCAGGTTAACACAGTCGTTTAGAAAGAAAAGAACAAACACAGAGTCATGTGACTGTACAACAGAGACGTTCGGACCTCTTTGGTCCAAGTCCAAGTCCATGTCCCAGTCCTTGTACTGACTCAGAGTCATGTCTGCAGTCTCTGAGAGACCATACCAAGCCCTAACAGTGGTTGTTTTAATTATTATTACTGTATTAATATTTTGTATACCTGCAGCTGTTTACTGTAAGTATACAGTATAACTGCTGTAGTATCAGAGCATAAATATAAAGCACTAGTACTGCAGTAAAAATCAGTTTGTCCACTTGTCTTGGTTAACTACACACTGAACATTTATTTTATAAGATCAACAGCTTACTAAATCAGAAGGTGGCGCTACAACATTACTTCCCTCCCCAAACACACTGACTTCAACTCTAGATCACACCCAGAGACAGGTGTCATGACGGGGGGAGGATGAGCTTCATTCAGCAGAAGGGAACTGACCTGACGGCAGTGGGTCGACTGTCACTGACCCAAAGACCAACGGCGTCGAGGCTTCACACCGATGAAAGGACAACGATGAAGTTCAAACAAACAGCAGAGAGGGATCTGTTCGCCGACAACTGCTTATTAATGAACCCTACAGTACACACTGTATGCAGTAACAGCTACAGCAGTACTGCACTGAGAGCGCTCTAGGAAGTACCAGTAAAGGCTGGCTGTGAAGCCCACTCCATCACAGCTTCAGCATGAAGCTGGACTTGGATGAAAAAGTGCTGTGTCCACTGTGTGGCAGATTAGAGCTGATGTAAAACCTTTCACACCTTGTTTCCTGCTAACCTTATTTTCTGATGCATCACTGTACTCTGACCGCTCTGGAGCCTGGCTCTGGGGTCCAGGTTTCATCCTTTAAAAGTTGTTTTTTTTCTATGCTACGTTTTAGGCTTTCTTTAAACTTTTGATCCTTTCAACTTCTACTTTAACTTAAACCTCTTCAAGGTCGAAGGTCAGCGGGTTGGGGTGTCAGTCTTCCCTTGAGCAGGATGGCCATCTTCTTTTCTTCAGCTAACGTTGGGCTATTGTTATGCTAACCTTTGATGTTATTGGTTCTGTTAATATTTCTGTTTAAAGTTTAGGTGTTTCATCGTTTAAAGCTAATGTTGCTGCGTTATGAGCTACATTGGAGCAGTTCCTGATTAAAAAAGTTATTTTTTGGCAATTTTTTTTGGCTAATATTAATGCACTTAAAGATGTGTATGAGCTGATTTTGGATAAATCCTCTAGGGTTGTTTTCCTTTTCTTTTCAAAACAATATTTTGAGCTCTGCTTTATTAAATTAGTTATTTTTTAAACTTGTTTTCTTTAAAACTACCCACTTTTACCATATTTATATTGTCTAACTGTTGTAGCTTTGATGCCTCAGCTTTTGAAGCTACTGCTGCTACATTTGAGCTGAATTTGAGTGATTTGATTTTTTTGTTATCACTGGACGTGTTTTTTTCTACTTTCTGCTGACTAACATCACTCTGCCATATTTCAGCTGGTTGAGACGTTCAAAGCCCAATTCATGAAAAGTCAGTGACACCTTTGACCTCCGGTGTTGACAGTCAAGACTTAGTTTGAATTGGACACGTGTAGAATTGAATTATGGTCCAGTGGGAGAAGCTCAACGTGTTGCCTGCTGCTGATCTGAGCAGCGTGTCTAAATCTGTGGGGCGTTGACTGAGGCAGATTTGGTTACAGCAGTGATTCAAACTGAGCCTGTGTTTTTATGGAACAACTTTGATTATGTTATTTATAGACGTGAACAAACATAAAGAAGGACTCACACACATTATCCACGACATCCTCTGACTGTGAGCACTGAGCACTGATGGTGTTCAGGTCCAGGTTTGTATTTGTATTAAACCCGACAAACAGAAAAGCTTTGAAGCAACCTCATGAATGAGTAAAGTGTGGAAACACTGCTGCTCTGTTGGTCTGTGATCTGAAACACAGCTTCATCCACACACACACACACACACAGTGTTAAAGTAGAGCCTAACTGATCAACATGATGCAGTCATCACATCTGACTGTCGCTCAGAAACGTGATGCAGCAAAATATCTGCAGCAGCAACTGATGCACACACACACACACACACACACGTGTGCAGATACACTGCATGTGTGTTGGTGCTCTGCTCCTGTTGTTGTGATCACCACGTCCCTCCCTGTAGAGACAAATGATAAAAACCCAGAGCTCTCAGGAGGCAGCAGGACAAAAAAACCAAATGACCCTGAGGTGTGAACCAGGTGTGAATCTTAGTGTGAACGGCTGCTAAACGTGACCTTGCGATGAACTGGAGACCTGTCAAGGGTGTGACCCCGTCCTCACCCTGTGACTGCTGGGAGTGGCTTGAGTTTCCCTGCCACCCTGACAGGATCAGAGGATCCAAGATGTTGTGGACTTTCTTTTCTTTGACATTTTTACCATCGTTTTTGAAGTTTTGTAGCTCACTGTCACCTGGGCTGCGTCAGAGCAAACGTCTTGTTTATAAGTAGCTGTTTTCAAAGGTACAAAGCTGCACAATCAGAGTCACTGTCTGTTCCCTGATAGTGGAGCTGTGTTTGTTTTCTTTTGTTAATTTTGTTTTTCTATATTAATTAGTGGAGAAATAACGTATTAATCATGCTAATATATTGGTGAACTGTATTGAGATGAAAGTTGTCATGGCTCTCACCTCATGAGCAGATGGACTCCCACTGTGTATGCAATAATCCCACTGTTCATCCATTTATGGTTCCTCCAAAACACAGTCGTTATTTACCGCGGGCTCCACCGGCCACCGTTTCCTCCAATTAGACGTTTGAATGTTGTTAAACACATGTTTCCAGATTAATAATCCCATCATCTGGATTAGTCACCGACACAGACATGTACCTGACTGGACTGGTCTGTCTGTTCCAGAACTATACGGAGAAACGATTTTCTGTCACATTTAGGACATTTTGTTGGTTTACTACACCTTATCACGAGTCATTGAGATTAGCTACAATTAAGAAAGTAATCGTAATTAATCAGATTAAAAATGTAATCTGCGAGCCTAGTGTAAAACACACCGTGCCCGTCTTTGTCCTGTAAATATAACTTTAATATATTTTTGACTTCATATACTTTTCTCAGTATCCATTGTTACAGTTTTTCAGGTTCAAACATGGGGCTACGGTTATTTCCATTTCATTTCATGTTAAAACTGCAAAAAGTCCGTCAAGGCGCCGTGTATGTTAAGAATGTTATCACCTCTCACTGTTTACCGTTTTATTTTGGAACATTTTAACAGTGGTTAAAAGGCAGATAAAATGAAAAGAACTAAAAAAAAACAGAATGTTTTTCTTTATCTCTTACTCTTCGACGCAGCTCCTCGGTCCCTCTGCCCCAGTCTGCCTGTATTGAGGTAAAGATCTTGCCGAGTCCTGGCCGGTGTTCCAGTCTCTGCTAATCCTCTCCTGGTCGCAGGGCGGGTCGACCACGGCGTCCTAGATCTGGAACAACTTAGGAACAAAAACCAAGCCGGACCTTCGTCAGTCCGAGCAGCGGTCAGTAAATCCACATCAACCGCTGTTCACATAGTTTTCACCCTCACGCCCATCCATGAGATACCGGTTCAAATCCACAAGGTAGTATTTTGGATCAAGTCCCGGCGCAGGTGAAGGCGCGCACACGATGACGTGAACGAGCACAGTTGAGATAAGCGAAGGGTAATCCTCTCTCTCTCTCTCTCTCTCTCACACACACACACACACACACACACACACGGACACAGTTAAATCATCAATGCGTGATCCGGCTATGGGTATTTGGTCTCATAATGGATAGATTGATAATTGTACTCTACTGCCGCCTACTGTTCCAAGTACGACATTACCACTGGGACCAGAACAACACAGTAGTGCGGCAACATAGATTAAGTCATGGGACACATACCTGGGTCAAGATGACAGTTTTTATCTCTGTTGTTGTTGTTGTTGCTATATGTGACAACAATAAAGAAAAAATACAGATACACAACAACAACAACGACGACGACAACACATTAAAAAGTACTGAATAAACAAACATTAAATGGGTATCTCCAGCTGTCAGTACTGTCTCTGTCAGTACTGTCTCTGTCAGTACTGTTTTGCTGTCAATTGTGAACTGTCTCTCTGACATATTTCATCACTGGACTTATTTTCTCCAACACAGTGATCATCTTCATTTACCCAGGACACTTCACGAGCTCCTCACGTCACCCCCTACTGTATATTAGATCGCACTGCACGATTTCACTGCTTTGCATTTGTAGAGTCAGCTTTTCCTGTAGCTGCTGCAGGTAAACTGATGACTGACAGTTAGTTTACACTGAAACAACCCAACAGTGGACACAGTACATGTTGACTGAGCTGTATGACCGTGATGAAGAACGACTACTGAATGATAACATCAGGAACAAAGACAGGAAGGAGTTAATAAGAGCTGAAGACCAGCCTTAACTCTGTTTAACCCCCTAGTGGACAGTTGAGGAGCCTACACACTCACCGAGTCACCAAGACTTATTTAGCAGCATCTGTTCATTCACACGGAAACAGTTCTACACAGTTGAAGTCACACTTCCGCTGAGAGAAAAAAAAAAACCAAAACAATATTAAACATATTTAAACGTTATACTTAATTAACACAGAGTAAGTCGTTTAAATATGTTTAATATTGTTTTAATAAATTTGTTTTTAGTTTTATTGATATGAAATCCTCAATTTGGTCAGACGAGGGCAGTGTTGCACCACTCTATGACATTCTCTCTGTTAGGTTTCACTGACGTTCATTCATCAAAACCAGTATTTGTATGTGAAAACCTGGCACACACACACAGTTAGATCATTTTAGTTTTTTGTATCAGTGTCAGAGGAATCTCTGTCCATAAAGGTCAAAAGGGCAAAACTTCCATAATAGACAAAGTGTGTGAGTGTCTGGCCTGCAGTCCAGATCCGACTCTGCCTCCTGTGAAAACTGTTGTTTAGTTTTTTCTGCCATTTCTATTCTAAAACCAAACTACATCTGTGAGTGTCCAGCTGCTGAAGTCTTCACTGTGTCAGGGTTTCAACAGAGTAAAACTGTGAAATGAAGCATTCCATCCAAACACACCATCACCATCAACTGATACAAAAGACAGACAATCGAATGAGATTAGATAAACATGGCCCTCAAAATAAATAAAATAAGGGAGGAGGTGGGGGGGGGGGGGTAAATATTCTTCTTCTAAAATTTAGAGAAACAAATCAAGCCATAAATCATGGTTTTATATATTTATGGTTCAATTGTTTATCAGAAATTAAACATATTCCTGTTTTATTTAATGCAGGGTTTCCAAACTAATTCTTCTACAAATATGTTCCGGATGCAGCCAGTAGATGGTGACATACTATTATTCTTTTTACACAAGGCAACGAAGAAACGACAGGAGTTTCTGTACACCATTATTTACGGCTTGAAGTGCAGTTATTGGCTGTTGGACATGCCTAAGTCGACGGACTGTCTTTTCTGACACTTTAACAAAGAGCACTGACCTAAATCCACTGACACTGACACTGGGCAGGGGGTGGAGGTCAAGCCCAGCAGGTTAGGGTTGGTTCGAACCGTTCTGTTATTCAGTCCGTCCCGCTCTGCACCCACTCCTCCACCACGACCCGTTTTCTTCTGCCAGAAATCTTTGTCCCAAATGTACTGCAGACGTGGGCCTTTGTCAGGTCCCTTCTGGGCTGCACATGGGACACAGCCAGGTTAAAAAAATAAAAATAAAACAGAGGGAATAAAGTTCAGTGATGATCACTGCCTGGTGACTGTTGAACAGGAGTGTCCACTGTCTGGCACAGGGGCTGGTTGTGGCTCATATTTTATATCATTATGAAGGACATTCAATTATTATTAAAGGTGTCAAGGACAACATAGAGTCATTTCAGTCTTGGATTTTGTAACTACCAAGGAGCTAACTGTTAGCTTTAGTTTTGCTATAAGCTATTTTTAACTTACAATTAACTATTAATGCATGTTTCATCCCAATTATGAGTTTTCTTGTTATGTTTACTTCATTCGCTGCATATTAGCTACTGTTACCTACAAATACTGAAGAACTGTTTCATTAACAGTAACATTTTCTTTTTTTGCTAATCTGGTTTTGTTTTGCTAACCTTTAACTTATTTGTTGTGTTTCCTGATAACATTTTGTCTTTTATTAATTGTTTTATCCATTTTGGAATAGTTAAATCAGCTTAAATATTATAAATATATATTTATAATGAGTAAATGTAAGTCTGAAAAGCCAGATGTTCCAGCAGGGCTTTGTCGACCCCTGCAGCATCACCGTAGGTAATGCAGGAGTTTGTGAATATTTTTGGTTGATTAGACTCACATAAAAAAATATTATTTAAATACATTACAGTTGTTTTTGTTGACCTGCTGATTTATACAGTTCCTCCACTTTCTTCTTTCAAACCTTTCATTCAATCTGGGCTCTGACTGTTGGCCTATCAGCACATCGTTGGCGTGGAGATGACAGCCCACTCCCATGTACTGGACAAACAAAAACACAGTGAAAGAGAGAGAGAGAGAGAAAAGTTTAGCTTATCATTTGCAAATATGTGGCTCGCAGCTTGGATGGGTCCACTCGACCACCATCTGAGGACCATTGCTTTAGACCCCATATATCTGTGCACACCGCTGCCCTCTGTCTCTGTGTTTTCATCTTTTCTGCTGAGATGAGGAGCAGGGCTAGTTAGCTGCTGCTGTGGGTACTCAGAGGTCACGCTCCTCGGTGCCTAAATGTCAGCAGAATTAATGATCTCACGGTCGGCAGCTGGTCCCAGTGTTTGAGCCTCTTCTCATCCAGCATCAAACACACTCCGCAGCTTTGATTCTATTCCTTAAGTTTCCTATTGTGCAACTCTGAGTCATAATAAACACACACACAAACAGCCGTGTCTTTCATGTGAGCCTTGAAAAAGGGAATAAATAAGTCCTGTCCACTGGAGCTGGGGCCTCTGTATGACAGGAAGCAGCTGGAGATGGCACCCAGCCCTGGTATTGTTTGCCAGCAGTTTCTTAATCAGACCATGGTGCTGCGCTGACGTCTGCCGCAGAAGCAGCAGCAACAGCAGTGGCAACAGCAGCTGCAGCAGCAGCAGCAGTGGTGGCAGCAGCAGCAGGACACGTCGGCCACATTAAAGTCACATTAAAGTGTTGTGGTGTCCACAGTGTGGCTCGGGGTTCTGGTTTGTTCTCCTTTAAAACAGTTCAGTGTGTCAGTGAGGAATGTTCTGGTCATCACAAAACCATTGATCAATTCTTCAGAACAAACCAAACCTCTTTGGTTTAAAGAAAGGACTGAAAAACATTCCTGGCTCCAGAGTTTACTTTGGACCTGTCCCTGATGAACGTCTTGTTTGGGACTGAGAATAAAGACCTTCTGCTCCTCAGTGATATTTTCTCTTTTTCCCTCTCTGAACTGAATTAGCATGTTCAGTCTAATTCTGTCTCCGTGTCTAAGATGTGGTTCAAATTATTCACAAATCCAACTCTGTCCGTCAGAGTCCAAGTTGCCTTCAACTGGGATTGGACAGAGGAGAGAAGGAGTGAGAGAAGAATCAAGGCTCAAAGTGAAGATCATCATAGCAGCAGCAGCAGCAGCATTAGCAGCAGCAGCAGCAGTAGCATTATCATCAGCAGCATTAGCAGCAGCAGCATTATCACCAGCAGCATTAGCAGCAGCAGCATTATCACCAGCAGCATAGCAGCAGCAGCATTAATCACCAGCAGCATTAGCAGCAGCAGCAGCAGCAGCAGCATTATCACCAGCAGCATTAGCAGCAGCAGCAGCAGCAGCAGCATCATTATCACCAGCAGCACTCGTCGTTACTGCAGAGGAAACTGCATACTTGAACTCTGACCTCTTAATCCAGGATCTGATGAATATTATCAGTAATTTACATCTTGGGAGACTAACATCTGCAGAGGTCAGAGCCTCACTGTTCAGCTGTAACAGGTGAAGTACTGAAGGACCAACGAGTGTAGCTAACTCTAGTCCTCGTCTCAACACGACCACTGTCAGTTTAATCAATCAATAATATTAATAATTCATATGAATTAATAAACATCCATAATAATTAATGATTTCTTCAGAAATAAATGTCTTGGGATTTGAACCAGTTGGACAGAGGCCAAAATAGCTTGGCTGGAGGACCTGGTCTGTACATTGTCCTGGCCTGTAGAGGTCAGTCTCTCTCAACAAGGGTTCAAGAAAGGAGAAGCAGTGAACCAACATGGACGAGCGAGGCTGACCCAACCCTCCAGTTTCTGTCATTTGATCAGATGAGGAACATTACAAAGTGTTCTTGCTGTGTCTGTTGGCTAACTCTAAGCCTTTGTTGGCTAACTCTAAGCCTCTGTTGGCTAACTCTAAGCCTTTGTTGGCTAACTCTAAGCCTTTGTTGGCTAACTCTAAGCCTCTGTTGGCTAACTTTAAGCCTCTGTTGGCTAACTCTAAGCCTTTGTTGGCTAACTCTAAGCCTTTGTTGCTAACTCTAAGCCTTTGTTGGCTAACAGTTACTGTACAGTTCTTACTGTAGCGTTATTGCAAACTAATCTATACTGAGTAGTGTTCAGACCCAGGTCGCACCAGCTGACTTCACCACTGTATGGATATAGTGTTTGTTAAAGACAATAATGTTAGAGTTCAGCTGTAAAGGTGCATTTCCTGAATTTATCATCTGATTTGAAGTTCTCAGGCATGTGGAGCCGTGGCAGCAGTTTAGATAAACTCAGCCGAACATCACTGTCTATAGGAGTGAAGATTTGAGAAGGTTCCAGTGAATACCTTCCATATTGTTGGCAGGACATTAACGTCCTCCGTCCTTCTTCATGCATGTCTTCTGTTTTCCGCTTCTACAGTAAATTGTTAGCTACGGCGTGAGTGCTGTGATCTGACCGATGGTGTTGCTGCTGTGCAGCAGAGCACGCTGAACCTATGAGCAGCCTATAGGAGCAGCAGGCCAACACATGCTGGCCTCATGTTGAAGAGACCGTCTGTGTTTGACCTCCTCTGAAGAAAGAGACTGATGACAAGACCGAAACAGTCGTCCGCTCCTCCATCTGGTCAAGATCTGCACTCAGAGCTGAGGTGCAGATGGTTACAGTAAATCACAGGCTCTGAGAAAGAAAAAACAAAAACACTTTCTATACTGTGAGAGCCTGGAGCTGAAGAAACGGCAGGAGGACCTGGGTCACATGACATGAGAATCTGACAAGACTTTAACTTGTGTTGTGACTGGGTAGGTCAAGCAGCTTGGCATGGGCCTAATACTACAAGTACTTGTACTTGAAGGGTCTGGATGGAAGTATCTTACCAATACCTTGATCCATCTTGGTCTTCTGTTTAGGTTTCTTTGACAACATGTCGTTATGATTCTGACAGTTATTACTGTTTGTTATTAAGGCCTGTGGCCTTGAACCACTGCAGTTACTGAACCTTTGACTCAATGTTATGTCCCCACCCCATCTCCCTGGACCTGTTTGTTTTTGTACATTTTGAACTTGGGTTTGTCATCAGTTACTGTATTTGTTTTGAGCGCCCCCTTCATTGTTTTGCCCTCTTTCCTTCTGCTTTCTAACTGTGTGTGTGTGTGTGTGTGTGTACATGGGTGTGATACGTGCAGCAGCTGAGTCATATGAAGCAAATGTGCACAACTGCTGTTCTGCACAGAGCCCAGTGCCACACGGCACCGTGTCATAAACAGGAAGCTGACACCGACGGCTCCTCAGTTGTGGTTTCTGAAGGACACATGTCGTGACAATTAACCAAAGCCTACAGGAAGTGGCTCCGTGGCAACACAATGCCCCAGAGCGGCTCCTGTGATAAACACTGTGGTCGGAGGAAAAGTCGGCGTCAGCCGGATATTCTTTTGAAGTCGCTCCACATTGTTTTTTTTGTCAGATAAAAGACACAGGTGCCATTTTTTTCTGCTGACTGGAAGAATGCGAGTAAAGAGAAGCTGCCATTCCGTGTCACTGTATCCCCTTTCATACATGGTTCCCACTGGAGGAGTCACGTAGGATATTTACAGGAAGAGGCAGCGCTCCATTACCTGCCACTCTACCGTTGCCCTCAGGTAGTGCAGAGTGAAAAGACTGCAGGTCTTTGATGAGACGGGGAAACACTTAAAGCCCACAGACCTGCAGACTTTGATCACCTTCACCTGATCGTCTTATTTTTAATAGAAAGAGCAAATGAACCAGCCTGGGAACAGACTGCACCTGCTTTGATGATCTGTGCAGGGTTTATGGACAACAGCGCCTCCAGCAGTGGAGACGTCACAGTGTAATCCCATAAATCACACAGGCAAACACTCACATGGTTGAGTTAAAGATAATCTAATCTAATCTATGAGTGAGTGTTTATTCACATTCAACAACATTGAACTGGAGTTTAAATTCAAATGAGTTTTAGTTCATGTTAAGTGGAATTTTGTAGCAATAGCTAATAATTGTCATTCCACTGTCATTCCACATCTAACTGTTATCTGACCACGACACATAAATGACGCCTTTTATTTTGAAATCTAACTTTTTTTCTTCACTGCAGTTTTCCCAACATCAAAGAACTAAAAGAACAGTTTTATAATTTGGAACTGGAACAAAATCCAAGGCTTGAATGTCCGACTGTTTTGATTCCACTCTGAACATCTCACCACATTAATGCTTCACTACTTCATTAAATGATTTTCTCCTCAGTCGTCTGCCAGAATGTCCAGATGGTCCTCAGTGTGGACGTGGTGGGGACTGGCCTGCTTCACTGCTGATAAACAGTGTTAGTCCACAGTGTGACTCACTGACTGTGATGTGGACGAGGGAGAGGAATAAAGTCTGTCTTTAAGAGAAATCACTCTGTGTCCAAATGCGCTGATGATGACAGCCGCTCCTTTAACGGCCAGAAAACACAGACACCAGTGGTTTGAACCCCGGTCCATCTCAGTGTCTGACCTTTGATAAACGTCAGGCTGTAATGGATTCTGCTCATTATGGCTGCAATTCTTTGGTAAAAAGATCATCTCTCTCTGCTGTTGGCTGTAATTATTATTCCTCTACAGTTAAACAGATTC